TTTGTCGTCTTGAACCTGAATTGAACAGGAAAAAACTCTGAGATCTCTACAAAAAATTGAATGAAAAAAAGGAAATGCTTATTAACTGATTTCTTGCTGGTCAGTATTTTGATTACGGAAGCTCTAAAAACTGCACACTAAAGAGTTCTACTTTAACATCAGTTAGTTTTATGAAGTTAGAGTGATCTGCCCATAGATTAAGATTATGAAAAATGTTATTTTACAGTCAGTTAGATTATTTTTAATAGATTAAATTATTTTAAGAATTATTTAAAATCAAAAAAATAGGAAATTAATTATTTTCATAAAGTTTTCCAATGTATGTAAACAGCAATGATTTCTGCTTACAGATAGTCCATTGTCTTTGAAAATTTCTTGGGGAAATGAGGCAAATACCATATGTTCTAAATGAATAAAAAGGGCTCATTATGCACATTTTATATGAAATATGATAGATTTTTTTCTCTCCAAGGAATAATTTCTGCAAGTCACTAAGTTTTTAGAGTTTCCTTTATTTTAAAGATATTCAATGAAATTATTTGAAGTATTAAATTTTGGTAAATTTTATGATACTAAAAGGTTATATGGATGAAAAAACAGCATGCATGTATGACAATAGGGTTTAAATTTTTAATGTCTCTTAATTTTTGAGTGACATTAAAACAGGAATTGTCATCACCAATAGACGAATTTCACATTCCTAAGAGTTTTCTCCAATTGTTGGCGTATCGCTCATTTTTCCCACTTTGTCCTTTGTAAGTTACTTGTTAATATTTTCAATCTTCAAAAATATTGGACAATTACAATCTGTATCTGTATTGGCAGAGGATGGGGGCAACATGAAAATCATAATGAATATGTTCATACTGATTTTATTTCTAAGATATTGTCCCTCAAAGTTGATACGGTTAAAGAGGGAAAACAGCGTCTTAAGCCGGTTGACCCCAGATCGACCCTGCGAAGGGGAATAACTTTTGTAAATGTGAAAATCCTTTATGGTATATCATATAGATCTAAAACTGACTGAATTTTGATCAGCCAATTTATGAACATGATGAATGGATGTAAATAATGTTGGTCAATATATGTAAAAAAAAAATTAAATTACTTGTTTATATATACATTTGTGGTATCTCTCCCATTGAAGTTTATAAACTTGTTATTTATTTCTTAAATAAACTGAGCGTACATGCAATACTGGTATAAAATTACTCATAAGATGCATGTATACTTAAACCATGATAAAATCATATGTGTCCAATGCAGCATATAATAAGTCATTAACATACAAGTACATGTGTATCTATACTGTAATACATATATATTGCATTATTTTTAGGTCCTGTTCTGTGGATGTCCTAAGACAGTGTCTACCCATCACTCCATCTGATATCACTTGTTCTGAGCATATTTCTCTCTCAAACTTAAACTACAGAGAGCCTGTGGATAGTGGATGAAGAGTGACCTTGGACCAATTTTCTAGGTCAAAGGTCAGTATCAAAATCTACTGTATATCTTTATTTAAAATCGTAGTCCAGTGTATATTTCTCCCCTGCCTGGTGTAATCTAGCTTTTGTGCAATGGGGTGGAGGGTCTGCAATGATCTTCAACCAATTTCTAGGTCGAATGTCAAAATAAAAAAAAATCTCTCCCAAATATTTTTAGGTCACCTGAGTAAACTCAGGTGACCTATTGCTATCCGTTTTCGTCCGTCGTCGTGCGTCGTGCGTTGTGCGTTAACATTTGAACATTTTCAGCTTCTTCTCTGCAACCACTGAACCAATTTCAACCAAATTTGGCACAAAGTATCTATGGGTGAAGGGGAACAAAAATTGTGAATTTCATGATCCCTGCCCTTCAGGGGCCTGAGGGGTGGGGCCAAAACCACTAAAATTAATGCAATCTTTAAAAATCTTCTTCTTTACTCCTGGGCATCAAGCAGTCAAACTGTTTGCATGATTGTAATCAGCAATGAGTCTTCTACCAAAATTGTGAAATTCATGGCCCTGGGGTCAGGGGTTCTAGTGCTAGGGCGGGGCTAAATAAGTAGGTAGTGAAAATGCATTATTTCTTTGAAAATCTTCTTCTCTGCTCCTGGGTATTAAATAAACTAACTAAGTATATAGTTATGATGAGCAAGAGTGCCTCTACCAAAATTGTGAATTTTATGGCCCCAGGGTCAGGGGTTCTGGTGTTAGGGTGGGGCTCAATTCATTATGTAGTGAACAGACAATAATTCTTTGAAGATCTTCTTCTCTGCTCCTGGGTATTAAATAAACTAACTAAGTGCCTAGTTATGGTGAGCAAGAGTGCCTCTACCAAAATTGTGAATTTTATGGCCCCAGAATTAGGGGTTCTGGTATTGTGGGGGGGGGGGGGGCTCTATTGATTATATAGTGAAAATACATGAATTCTTTGAAAATCTTCTTCTCTGCTCCTGGGTATTAAATACACTAACTAAGTGCATAGTTATGATGAGCAAGAGTGCCTCTACCAAAATTGTGAATTTTATGGCCCCACGGTCAGGGGTTCTAGTGCTATAGCGGGGCTCTATAGATTATGTAGTTAAAATACATGAATTCTTTGAAAATCTTCTTCTCTGCTCCTGGGTATTAAATAAACTAACTAAGTGCATAGTTATGATGAACAAGAGTGCCTCAACCAAAATTGTGAATTTTATGGCCCCAGAGTCAGGGGTTCTGGTGTTAGGGTGGGGCTCTATTGATTATATAGTGAAAATACATGAATTCTTTGAAAATCTTCTTCTCTGCTCCTGGGTATTAAATAAACTAACTAAGTGCATAGTTATGATGAGCAAGAGTGCCTCTAGCAAAATTATGAATTTTATGGCCCCAGGGTCAGGGGTTTTGGTGTTAGGGCGGGGCTCTATAGATTATATAGTGAAAATTCATTTAATCTTTAAAAATTTTCTTCTCTGCTCTAGTGTATTAAGCAGATGAACTACCTATATAGTTATGATCTACAAGGGCCCTAATCTTCCAGAATTGTGAATTTCAAGGCCCCAGGGTCAGGGGTACCATGGGGGGGTTGTACTTATATACTGAAAATGAATGAATGGTTTGAAATCTGCTCCTTGGTATTAATCAAATATCAAGGCCTAAGGGTCAGGGGTTCATGTGTGGTAGGGGCACTACTGATTATTGCTGAATATAACTGATTAGTTGAAATGCATTTTTGTTCCCCTACCTTGTGTATGGGTATTAAGTAAACAAACTAAGCAACTGATAAGTGTATTGTTATTATGAATTAAATTTAATCACTGGAAAGTTGTTGCATAATGCTCAGTTGACCTATAAGGCCCATGGGCCTCTTGTTGTTATTATAAAGAGTATGTTTTCTCTCAAACTAATCAAACTTAAAGCAGGGTTCTTAGTATGAGATACTTGTAGTAATATATTCTCAATGACATAATAAGGCTGAAAATATTATTTATATTAGGCCTAAAATAAAATATTGTTTGTTTGCAGTTGCCGACCAACCCACTGAAAATGCACCCCCCCCAAACTTTTTTTTAAAGCCATTTTGTAATATTATTTTTTCTCTCCAATTTTTCAGGATATTAAAACTGTTTCATTTTCAATTTTTTTCGTTATCAATCATACCAAGAGTGCAGCTTATTCATGTAAAGTAGGCCTATGAAAAACTTTATTTTATGTTATCTAACAAAGATCTGGAAATATTTTTTTTTCAAAAAAAAAAAAAAATTGCCTACCTACCTACTCAGCCTAAAAATTATAGGTCGGCAACTGCAAACAAAGAATTTTTTAAGCTTGGCCTTATGTTATTTTTTTTTCACTTATCATAAAGCATTAAAAATTAAAGAGATACATTAAATGCCGAAATCATATGTATCATGGTCATGGAAAGTAATTATTGATATTGGTATATTAAAGGACATTGACTGATCTTTTAGATTTCTAAGTTATTTTCAAGCATTATAATTCTGACATCATATAATAATTTTGTATGAATATTGCAGATCAAAGGTGATGTGAAGAAAACCAGGAAACTGATGTTGAAAGAAGTACTTAATGGCCCTTATGAATGGACTTAATGTGAAAGACTGTTCCATTGTTTATCTAAGATATATGAATTTATTTAATATTTTGATATTGAAAAATTCAGTTACAGTTTTTGTACATCAAATGAATTATTAAACATATAAAATGGTAATGCTTTCTTCTTTTACATGTAATAAATTTTTTTGATAGATTTTTAAAAGAATACACATTATTTCACATTGCTTCCTTTAGAAAAGTTAGGGAATCTTGAACTTTCCCAGTAATTTCCACCAGGAATGGGCCTCCAGATAATTCCACCAAGTTTCCACCACACAGAAAGTGTTACACAAGTTCCATATAGTTTCCTGAGTCAAGGAAACTGCAGGAATCATAAGGTTTCACGAGCTTCCATGTAGTTTCCCATAAAAGAAAACCTTAAGATTCCATCAAGTTTCCATTCCACGGAAACCACTACGCTCCGATTACATATGGTTTCCTGAGTCATGGAAATTTTAGGAATCGTGAGGTTTCCCGAGCTTCCATGTAGTTTCCCGTAAAAGGAAACCTAAAGATTCCACCAAGTTTCCATTCCACGGAAACCCCCTACGCTCCGATTCCATCAAGTTTCCTGATTCTGGAAACCAGTGGAATCTTCAGGTTTCCCATTACGGGAAACTACATGGATGTTCGGGAAACTTCAGGTTTACAGAGGTTTCCGTGGTTCGGGATACCTTATGGAATCGGAGCGTAGGGGGTTTCCGTGTCACGGAAACTTGACGGAATAACCTAGCATCCGCAATGGAAACCACTGGGAAACATGATGTAAACTTGAGGTTTCCATGTGGTTTCCATAAAGTTTCCTATGATGGGAAACCACTTTTTTCACCCAGTGTATATTTTTAAAAGCTCAGTGCTTTGAATTTCTCTTCAAAGTTTCGTGTTAAAAAATATTGAAATAATAACCAACAAAGATAAAAATAAAATCAACATAATTTTTATTTAAATTTACAAAAATAGACAAAAGAAAAACTAAAACAGCATTTTCTTGAGAATATCTGGTTGGATCCTCTTCAATATCTGAAAAGATATAATATAATATCAAAGGGTAAAAACAATGAAAAAAAGAAATTGAAAAGAATTGAAAAACTGTCAAAAATTTATAAACATCACAAAAATTCAGGTGTGAGAGATCCGTTTTAAGAGTGGACTCAAATATCTTGGTACTGTTTTTTTTTTTTTATATAAATAAACTTCAAATAAACTCTACTTGAACAACTATTAAACAAATTGTGACGCAAGGATATTTAAAGAAGTTCGTATTGTACATGTATTGTTTTTCAATGAGTTTAAGCGAAAATCATCGCGTTTCCAGTCAATGACAAAAACATGTATTTAGTGAATTCATGGTATTGAGAAAGGTAGATTTACTTACCGTTTTTATCCAACTTGCATGTGTTATCCAGTGCTATATATAACAAAACAAGTTAAGATGGTAAATGGCCAAAAGCGGTAAAAGAAATTCCTATAACCAAATGCACACTTCGTCTAAAGCCTGCACGTTTCCCTTACTTGTAAACAGCTGACAATCAATGGTGATCAAACGTTTGGGTCATGCGAAATTTCACCGGGTATAACCGTTCATTCAGGTGTATACAGAACAGAGTATCCTCTAGTCGATAGTCGATGGGAAGATAATACATATGTCTTATCTTATCAAATTTGCATTTTGGGGGGATAGGCCTATATTTTGCTGAAAAGCATATATGCTTATTGAAGAAATGAATTTCTGAGTGTATGGCGTTTTGACACGTAATGATGAATTAGCATATGGACAAGCCATGTTTTATATAATTTTTTTTCTCATCTAAAAATCTTATTCTAATAAGTTTGTAAATGTATTATCTAATAATTAAATAAGTAAAATTGAATACATTGACAAACAATTCATGATCATTTTTAAAGAAAGGATACGTATTGGGCAAAACACTGTATTAATTGATGTGATATTATGGACATTCCATCCACAATATCGCATGTTGTGTTATACTTAGTGATTTATCGGTGTTAAGTGAATTTGAATCTGATCATTTGGGATCAAAATGGCGTTTTTACGGAAGTACGCCATGTTGTGACGTTGTAGAGGGCCCCCTTAAGCTTGTTGTACATCATTGTTTTACCTTATTTATATGCCATACTGTTATTTACATTGTTTACTTTCGTTTTCCATTACTTCCGGTCGCGGGAAATTATGTACAGGTCTTACCTAGAATGTGTCGCGATTTCGCGGTTTATAACGTCACGTTGGGTCGTGCTACGTCACTTTTGGGTTAACATCTAGTTTGAGAAGTCAGTTGGGATTTTTAGATGATAGTGGACGGACGTAGAATTTTTTTAAAGGAGTTATTTTGAATAGACAGCCCCTACTTGTGAAGTTATTTTACTCAATTTGTAGTCGCTACCAGACTATTTGTGAGATGTCCAGGTAATTTAATTGGAATTTGTGATAATTTATTTATTATTTATAAAATTTCGTATTAGAAATTTACTTTAACTTCATCTGAAATTTGGGGAATCCTTTGAATCTAGCAAGTGACGTTGTGTGACCATATTTTGAAATATAAATTGTTGGTAATTTATTGACTATCATTATTAAATTTTGGAATATCAGAATATAGTTTTTGAAAACTTTATTATCTTTGTTGTTAATTTCTTTAGTAAAAAAAACCGCTACCAGGTTTATTCATATTTCGCTACCAGAAATTATAAGACCAGATCTTAGCCGCGACCAGGCTTATATATTACAAATACCAATTTGGTAATTAATAATTATTTTATCCTATCTTACGAACTCGTAACGGCGAAAACGTTACATTCTGTATAAATGAAAAATATTAACACTTAGATATAATCCAGAAAATTCAGAGTAGACATATTCGAAAGCAAAACAAACACGCAATATATTGTCAATCCGTGCAGTTATGGTAAGCAGACTGTGACGTTTGAACGCACCCGGTGAATTATAAACATCAACAATAAAAGAACTCATACCCTGTTTACAAAAACTGTGTACATAACACGAGTGTGCTCGATTTGCTAAACTCTGTACGCAACTCTTAGTTCGGAATGACGATACTTGTGAAGGAGTTTTGCTTTCTAACATTTCTACTCTGAATAAAATTATTTTTCTGGATTAAAGTTTTAATATTTCTCATTAATACACAACAAGATTGCCACTTTTGCTAAGGATGAAGAATAAGGTTAAAATTTGTGAAAGTGCAAGGATGTGTCAATCAAACCCGCCAAAAAAATTAAATTTTAATAACTTTTAAATGAAATAAGATTTTTAATTAATTTTTGTGTGAAATGCTATTAAAATATATTTTAAGTCGTAATATTATAGAGAAAATATCGACTTCAAATCTGTGTCCAAGTACCTTTAATTAATACTTAGACATACTGGTGATCTTGATTTGTTTGGGTTCTCGGTAAATGGGTTTTACTACATAGAAAAATGTTAACAAAAGGGCTCGGTAATAAGATGTGAAATATGGGAGACATTTACATTCATGAACTAGTAAATTTACATTTACTAGTTCGTGACGTCATAACAAAAATTGTCAGTTAACTACTTTGAAACTATGATATGTACTGTTAATTTATATTTCTCATATAATCTATAGAATTCAGCACATTTCAAGAATTTTTCAAAATTTGACTTTTGTGGGGACAAAGATATGCAATATACCGCATTTAGTTCTTAAAGTGATTAAATGAAACAAGGCACCTGTGACTGTTAAAAGCTATATGAATTAATTTAAATTAAAATGCTTTGGAGATGAAAAATGATATATTATCGGAACTTACATATATAATATCGATCTAAACAGTTTTAAAAATATCTGAATTGAGACTGAATGAAAGCTTTATTTTGCTCTCCTGCATCAGCCCTTAATAATGTTTTTGAAATGGGGAGGGGTAACCTCCTTTTTAAAATAAAACGTCCGAATTCGAAAACCTTTCCTCGGGGGGGAGGGGGGCTTGTATAACTGTAAGTTCTTGGCACCATTTTTTAATGCTGAATTCTTTTGGTGTCAACCATACAGCAACAAAAGTCGGGGAGGGGCGGCAGCTTCAAAATAAAAATGGACACTTCTCCAAATTAGACAATTTACATTTTTTCCAAACTGTTGTAATGATTAGTGGTAACTATAAACGTTAAGAAGACCAAGAATTAGGGTTAAATGGAACAATCTGTCCTCCCTTGAAATAGACTCGACCAAAGGGTATAAATAAGAATGCACTGAAAATTGCAGGGTCGATTGAATGATGAGCTGCAGCGAAGAAGCAGTCTGAAAAATGGGTAAGAATAAGAGAAATTTAAGTGAAACTAGTGCTAAATGTAACGGGGACCGTTACAGATGTTCCCCAAACGCTCCCCAACTCCCTTTTGGTGCCATATTCCCTATAAGCTTCATTAAATAAGACAAACTCTATGCATTTGAGACTTTAACAACGTTTACCCAGAAGTGTACCAATTTCATTCAAATTTTAACATTGCACGCGTGCGCATGTGAATGCACGTGCGTAATGATCACCATATAATTTTGTCTTTACAATCTCAATCTATAGATTCTAATATACTAAATATCAAAGTATTTAATCCAAAAGTATTAAAAATACGCTAATTCAAGTGTATTTTTGATTTTACTCACTTCACGTGCACGCACGTGCTCACATGAGCATGGCAGCCATATTTTCTTGTAGAAGTCCATTACATCTATTTATGTTCTAATTCCAACCCCGTTTGGTTGAAAACCAAGGAAGTTATAGCTGTTCAAAGTTTCAGCCAATCAGATTGCAGCGCACGTACATGCACGTGTATGCATGTGCATGGTGACCATATCTTCTTGTAGAAGTCCATTATATCTATCCATGTTCCAAATCCCATCCTGTTTGGTTGAAAACCAAGGGAGTTATAGCTATTTAAAACATAAGCCAGTCAGATTGCAGCGCACGTGCATGCACGTGTTTAAAATTTCAAAGGATTTCGTCAAAAAACAAGAAAGATATTGAGACTTTGGTTTCAGCCAATCAGGCGAAGTGCACGTGCATGCGCGTGAGATCTTGCTTGTTTGACCATGTCATCTTGTCTATGCTTCTAATATATACTTCTAATATGAGTTTTAAAGCATATCATCAATAATTTAAATAGTTACGTCTTTATCAATTATATTGGACATTTCTCGTGCGAGCTCTTGCAAGCACACGTGCATGCACATGCTTTCATGATATTTCTTTTATTACGGACTGTAGATCTCCCTAATGTATGACTATGTTCAAAATTTCAAATGATTTTATCAAAAAACAAGAAAGATATTGAGACTTAAGTTTCAGCCAATCAGAGCGAAGCGCACGTGCTTGCACGTGCGATCTTGCTATTTTGACCATGTCATCTTGTGCATACTACTCATATATCCTTACATTATGAGTTTCAAAACATTTCGTCTTAAAATAGGTTGATTGATTGTATACTGTTTAACGTCCCTCTCCAGAATATTTCACTGATATGGAGACGTCACCATTGCCGGTGAAGGGCTGCAAATTTAGGCCTATGCTCGGCACTTACGGCCTTTGAGCAGGGAGGGATCTTTATCGTGCCACACCTGCTGTGACGCGGGGCCTCGGTTTATACGGTCTCATCCGAAGGACCGCCCCATTTAGTCGCCTTTTACGACAAGCAAGGGGGTACTGAGGACCTATTCAAACCCGGATCCCCACGGGGAGAATAGAAAAGTTACGGTTATATCCATTATATACTGGTCATTTCAAGTTTTGCACGTGCGCGCTCTTGCAAGCACGTGCGCGCAAAATGACTTTGATTCCGCAAATCTACCTAACATGCCTACTTACCCTAAAAAGGTTTCACCTAAGTCGAATGTGTAGTTTACAAGATCACTCGCGGACAAAATTTTCCCAGGAAGAAAAATAATAATAACTAGAGCCGAGCTCGTTGCAAAGCAACGAGTAGGTCTTCCGTCCGGTTTTGGCCGGATGTGCCGGAAGTGACGTGAACAAAAGAAAGCAATGGGCTAAGTGGTCTCCATTGACTTTATAATTTCAATTTTGCATTAAAACCTTCAAAATAAGCTATTTTTGGCTACTTCCGGTTTGACCGGAAGTGACGTCGACGGACGGAAAATTTAAGATTTAAGCTTCCAGTGACATATGTTATTCAAAAACCTGTCAAGAACAGCAAAAATATGCAATTTTGACTACTTCCGGTTTGACCGGAAGTGACGTCGCCGGACGTATTTTGACGACTCCATTAGATAACGCTTGACATTTTGAGTAACTTTGCTTCTTTGACGTATTACAAATTCTCAATACTTTTCGAGATATAAAGGAAAAACTTTCGGCCCCTTTTGGCCCTTTATTATAGGGGCCAGCCCCTTATCGTTGATATTTTTCAAAAGATCGTGACATTCTCTACAACTTTTGTTCTATATGTCTTTACAAATTGTTAACATGTAAAAAGATATTGCAGAAAAGGTGTCAAAAATTTCTAAATCCTCGACTGGACTTTTTTCGGGCCATAGCGAGCGCCGACGTGCGGCACTTCCGGAGAAAAAGAGTGGAGTGTGACAAAAGAGCATACGTTGCTCTATCATCGCTGAAAATCTCATGTTTCTGTCTTAAGGCATTTTCGAGAAAAATGATGGACAATGAAGCCCCCTGAAAATCACTAAATCGCGGAAATCTCAAAACCGGAAGTGACGTCATCAAAACAAAAAATTATATGTCAGGTTTGTTTGATGTTCTATCAGTCCTGAAAGTTTCATGAAAATCGAACGAGCCGTTTCCGAGAAATCGTGTACACAAAATCGGTAAGAAAAAAAAACAATAATAATAATAATAACTAGA